GGCGCTTTTGACGGCTCGGCCACCGCGGACCGAGCGGCTCGTCGGGAGGCGGACGCCCAACAGCGCGGAGAAGGCAAGCGAGCGGCGCAGGGAGCGACCCCCTCCTTCCCCACCGGCCCCGCGGCACCGGCGCCGTACGGCCGCGCCTCGGCCAAAATGGCGGCGGCCGTGTGGCGGCAGCCATGTTGTGCCGTACAGAAACCCCTTCCCCAGCGGCGAGGGGCGCCGCGGTGACCCGGCTCCGCCATCTTGCCGTACGGCGGCGCGGCGGGGCCGGGGCCGGGGCGGGCCCGGCCGGCCGAGGGCGGCGGCGGCGGCCGGAGATGGTGATCTGCTGCGCCGCCGCCAACTGCTCCAACCGGCAGGGCAAGGCGCGCCGCGGCGCCGTCTCCTTCCACAGGTAAGGGCGGCCCGCCCGGCCCGTGCAGGTGCCGCGGCCGGGCCGCCCGCCCCCCGGCCCCGCTGTCCCCGCCAGGCCCCCCCGGCAGCGGCCGCCCTTTGTTTCCCTCGGGGGGAACCGGCTCGGGGCTCCCGGAGCCTCAGCGCCGGCCGGGCAGCGGGAGCGCCCGTGGCCGCGGGGCCCGGGCCCACCGCCGGCCTGTGCCCCCTCCGTGCGAGCCCCCCCGGGCCCCCCATCGCTCCCTGGGGTGGGTCCCCAGGGGAAGGTCCCTGTCCCAGGAGTCCCATTGGAAACGGCGCCTGGTTCCTCTGCTCGGGCTTTCTTTCACTCCCGGCGTTTCTACACCTTATTGAATGCTATTAAATACACCCGGTGTCAGCATCGCCCGGGCAGCGGAGGCAGCGGTGGGGCAGCGTGTTGGCTGAGCTGAGTGTTCTGGGGGTGGTCACGTCCCCCTTCCTTGTGGACAGGGTGTTCCTCGTGGGGGAGGTGAGCGGAATAATGGGTCGATTGCTGATGAAAACGGAAACAACACCTTCTAGTGCTGTGCTTTTTGTGAAGCGGAGCTGTTAAAGCAGGGAATGAATATCAAATATTTCAGCCCAAAGTGAAAAAAATCTTTAAATGAGTGGAGCCTCTCAAAACACAGATTTCACCAGAACCTCCTAAACCTGACCATCACTTTGGATTTGATCACCTTAGAGGTCTTTTCCAACCTTAACAATTTTATGATTATGTTGTTCTGTGATCCGAAGAGCACTGTCCCTTCTGATTTCCCAAAGGTGGCTTATTTTTTCATGGAAACCCGTGTCCCGTTTCTTTTTTAGGTTCCCTCTGAAGGATTCGAAGCGCTTGATTCAGTGGCTGAAAGCTGTTCAGAGAGACAACTGGACCCCCACCAAGTATTCCTTCCTTTGCAGCGAGCACTTCACCAAAGACAGCTTCTCCAAGCGGCTGGAAGACCAGCACCGGCTGCTGAAGCCCACTGCTGTCCCGACCATCTTCCAGCTCGCGGAGAAGAAGCACGACAAGCTGGATTATGTCAGGAGCCGAAGGAAAATAGCGAGGCAGGTGCGGGATGGGGAAGCCCCGCGGGAAGGAGGCGGTGAGGTAGCGCAGAGGGACGCGTCTTCTGGACAGGACTTCATGGTGATGCAAGGGAAGGAAGAGATGGAGGAGGCGACACTGCAAGTGGAGATGGGATCGATGTCGGAGGAGACGGAGGCCCTCCGCAGCCAGCTGGACGGCCCTCGGAGAAGGACGTTAGGGGATAGTTTGGGTGCGAAGCCTGGAGCTCAGAAGAAGCTCGAGAGGTCTCCTGTGGAGGAGGACTGTCCCAAGGGCAGCTGGGCGGGGAGCTGGGTGGCAGAGAGAAGCGGCGTGTCGGTCGACGACTTCACCCCTCCCGCCTCCGGTGCTTGCAAGTTCATCGGCTCCCTCCACTCGTACAGCTTTTCCTCCAAGCACGCCAGGGAGAGGCCGTCCCTCCCGAAAGAGCAGCTGGAAAGGAAGAGGCCAAAGAGAGAGGTGGAACCAAGCTGCAGCAGCCATCTCCTGGGACACGACAAGGCCGTAGCAGAAGTGTCCCCGACTTCCTCCCTCACCGCAACTCCCCAGAAACCCTCCCAGGGCCTGTCGGCGTCCCCGGCGGACCTGACCCCGCGCCCGGCCGCCGAGGCTGTGGTGGGGCGCAAGGGCGACACGGACGCCAACCCCATGTCCATCAACGAGGTCATCATGTCGGCCTCGGGGGCCTGCAAGCTCATCGACTCCCTGCACTCGTACTGCTTCTCCTCCCGGCAGAGCAAGAGCCAGGTGTGCTGCTTGCGGGAGCAGGTGGAGAAGAAGAACGGAGAGCTGAAGCTCCTGAGGCAGAGGATCAGCCGCTCTGACAGCCAGGTCAGGAAGCTGAAGGAGAAGCTGGATGAGCTGAAGCGGATCAGTTTCCCCTACTTGAACAGCCTGCTATCCCAGGACTGTGGTCAGTATTCCCAGGGGTGCTGCGTCGAGGCAGAATTCCGCGTTTTCTTAGAGGC